CATAATTCACCTTAAATAAAATCAGACTATGAAAATCAGTATTTTGGAATCAGGTCAGAAGAGAATTACCTAGTGTATAAGCCATAAGTGTAAATGTAAAATATCTTTTTCTTTTTGTTTTGGAAGATTTTGTTTATTTATTTTTAGAGAGGAGAAGGAAGGGAGAAAAACATCAGTGTGTGAGTAAGACATCAACCAGTTGTCTCTTGCAAGCTTCCAGCTGGGGACCTGGCCCACAACCCAGGCATATGCCCTGACTAGGAATCAAACTGGCAATCTTTTGGTTCATAAGCTCAACCCACTGAGCCACACTAGTCAGGGCTTCAATGTAAAATACCTTTAAAAAAACAAAAAACCTTCAATTTCCCATGGACAAGTTGAGTTATTAATACTTACTTAATCATGCTAACATTTGCATAGCTCCTAGAAGTTTTGAAGCTCTATATAATCATTTGGATTATATATCTCTGAGTGTCTGTCTTCTTGGACCAAAAAAGGGCAAACATAATTCCCATGTGTTTGCATCAGCAGTTAGTTCACAGTAAAGGAAATAAAATCCCAAACTTTATTAGAAGAAAGTCTAATATATTCACCAACAGAACTTTCCACCTCTTCTCACAAACAGGCTCTTTGTGAATTCACCTAAAGCCAGGGGACAAACTGATTTAGGCAACCAAGTTCTGGGCAGAGAAACTTGTTCAATTGCATCCACCTTATTTCTGTTAATGGCATCATTTTTTGTGATATTGTGCTTAAAAGCTCTGGATTTACCTTTAATTCCTCCTTCCAGTCAATCAGCTGCTGAGGCCTACTGATGCTAACTCTTGTGTTCTCTTATGTTGGGTCTCCTTTTTCCAGTCTAACCTTCACTAAAGTTCCCACTGTAGTGATACTAACCCCTGATCTACTCTAGGTACCTCTACCACTCTGACATTCTTAAAATTTCCTTTATAAACCTTCAGGTCTGCACTGTTGTCTTCTAAACATGCACCTACCTATCAGCTTTGTTTCTCTACACACACTTTCTGACCCAAATAATTGATACCACTTGCTTTCTTCCTAGTCAATGCCTACCTTCATGTCTTCAACACTTTTAGCCTTTTGCTGGGGGAACCCTACTCATCCTTCAGTATTCGTCTCTAGTTCCCCTCATGAGTCCTTCTCTGACTCCCCCATAACTCTGCCTGGCTTCCCTTGAACCATGGTATTTTGCTCATGCCTCTCCTATAGCTCCTGCATTATGACATTCTTTCCCCTCTCCCCAGAGGCAGATGGCGAGGTCCTCAAAAAAGAGACTGTATTTTCTCACTGTTGCATCTGCTGATGGGTTAGCACAGTACCTTGAGTATTGGGCATACCTACTATCTGTTCAACAGTAAAGAAAATCATATATTTTTTTATAGAAAATAAGGGTGAAGACAAGTGAAGTCATTCTTGGCTCAAGTCTTTAAAAAAGAAGTAGGCTTCCAGTTCACTCAGAATACTGTTACTCACTCTTAACAAGTAATCAACAGCCAGTGAATTACTCAGCCAGAGAATGTAACTCAAAGTTGTAACATACATAGCTATGAGTCACACTGGCAGCTGGGAAGTTCTGTCATGCTTGCAAGGAAGGGAACATTCATCTGAAAAGACTATGGAACAGCCACAACAACGGACAAGTTAACCACAGTGTCAGATGTCACAGCTGGACCAACTGCCCACAGCAGTGGTTTCTAAGCATGGCAGGTGGCTCATTTACATGTCTGACAGAGGAAAGAGAACACGGCTGGTGAGGCCTATATTCTAAAGCTTCAGAAAGTCAGCAGCACCAAGCCAGTCCCCGGTGGGCTCCCTGCAGCATAGTCCCCATGTGGGATGAGCAGGAGGGAGGCTGCATGCGAGAGACATGGATGTAGGCTGTTTCCAACATGGTGTCAGTAAAAGCAGAAAAGTGCTGATATGTCTACCAGATAGTGTACAAAACTCAGGGGTGTTTTCTTTGTTGTTGGCCTTTTTCTTTTAGAGAATGTTCTTATGACTGCCCACATTCCAGTTTATGAATAACTCTCTTTAGAAATTGTTCATTCCTCTACATTGAATTTTAAGTGTTCAAAGAGGAATGAAGCCTATATCATTTTTAAAACCTGGATTCAGTTTATGAAAAGTTTCTAGGGGTTATTAGGTTTGAGTATTTTGAGATATATAAAAAAAAAACTTTCTCTCTAGCATAGAATTTTAAAGAGGGGTTTAAGAGCATCTGCTAAGATAGTCTTGGGTCCTCTTATTTGATTGGGGACACATACTTTCAGGAATGACACACAGAAACATACAACAACTGTGTTTCTAGGTACTGCTCTAGTTGCACAAGAATAAGACCATGGGGAATACTTGGCAAGGCATGGGAGAAGGAAGGAAGGAAGACAAAAGAAAAGAAGGTGAAGAAAGTAGACATATTACTTACTCTTGGGAACTTACCATCTAATAAGAAAGGTAGTCAATAAAGAATGAAACAAACCAATATCTAATTATAAAACTTGATAAATGCTATGGAAGAAATTGGCCAGAGGGCCATAGTAGAAAGTAAAGCAGTATATTAGCAAATTAGCAGCATAGTTAGGGACATTTGACTGGGACCTAACAGATGGGAAGGAGCCAGCCTTAAGAAGGGAAACATCATTCACAGAGGAGGGAAGAGCAGTGCAAAGAACCAGGAGAAGCCGGCCCAACTAGAGCACCGTGGGCAAGGAGCATCCTAGTCGAGGAGGCTGGCAAGGCAGGGAAGGGTCACTGCGAAGGGGCTGCCACTAGTCGGGAGTGTGGGTTTTATTCCAGTGCACTGGCAAGGCAAAGAACGGTTCTGGATAAGTTGCATTTGTGGGTTCAAACACCATACTGGCTTCTCTGTGAGTAAAGCAGGAAGCAAGAGTAGAGATGGAGAGACCAGGAAGGAGGCTCTTGCAGGATTCTGAGAGAGGTGGTGGCCTGGACGTGGGCGGTGGCAGTGGAGATGAAAAAAGGGCACTCAGACATGATCCGAGACCTATTTCGGTGGGAGAAACAAGAGACCTTGCGGAGAGAAGGGATGCGAGGGTGAAGGAGAGGGAGGCACAGAGGATGACTCGGATCCTCTGCCTTGTATGTCACTTGATTTTCTTGGCATAGTTCTTATATAGAAGAGTAAGCTAGATTTATATCGGTGTTTTAAAAGATATATCTTATATAAGTAATTCATGTGCTAAAATCTCAGTTTCTACGTGAAGCTCACCCTCTGACGGTAACACTGCACTGAGGCTTACTGACATCCCGAGAGGTGTGTGTGGGATGGGGGGGAGAAGGGGCCTCCGCAGCAAGCCCCCCTGGGCTGAGGCACAGCTTTACCGTTCTGCTAGGCAAATACAAAGAAGACACAGATCTAAGTCTCAGGCTTCACATACACAGGTAAGAACTCTCTCACCGTTTGCCTGTGAGAATTAAGTAAGAGAACTTTATAGTAAGTCCTGGCACATAGTGGGAAGTCAATAAATGTTAGAATCCCCCTTTCCCTTCTTCCGTTACAGGGATGGGAATGCCATCAGCAGTTCCTCAGAGAACCTCTGTAACGGAGACGAGTGCTGTGACTGAGTGCTGTACTTCAGATGACCGGGACACGCTCCAGAAGACGGACTGCAGATCCTGTTATGGGTCCCACAGGGTCCCAAAGGGCATGGCAATTCTAGCTATATAATAACTACCCTCCCCCTGACCCCTGACTAGAAGCATCGCCAAGTAAAATACAGGACACCCAGTTAAATTTGGGTTATAGATAAACAATAATTTTTTAAAAAAAGTATAAATAGGTTCCATACACTATTTGGGATATACTTAAACTACGTATTTTTCATTGTTATCTGACATTCGAATTTAACCGAGCAACTGCTATTTTTATTTGTGGAATCTGGCAACTGTATGACTAGACAAATGTCTACTTCGATTAGGAATAAATTGCTCCACGATTCTGCCTTCACAGTCCCCTGAGAAGCTCTGACTCTTCTCTGTATAAGAGGTCATGCCTCTCACCATCATGGCTCTATAGTTCTACATCTTCCATTTTTCCCACATATTCCCTTCACCCCCCTCACCTTTACCAATAAACACATAAATGTCCAAAATCTACTGAACAGCACTACATTAGGTACAGAGTATTACTTTATGGTCGTAAAGAAGACTTCTGCTGTGTGTGCGTGTGTGTATGTGCTGTGTTAACTTTCTAAAACAAAGATTTCTTAATAATGCATCATCAGGGATACATTTTGAGAGGTTTCTAGTAGCAGTGAATTAAATGTGCACCCACATTAATGGACACCATTTAGATCCTAGAGGAGTAGGACCGATTATTGAATACAGTTCATTCAATAATCGCGATCTATCCAAAGCTGAGATTTGGAAATCCTTCATTATAAATTAAACTACATGAAAATAATTTGGAAGTTCAGGCCATAGTTTTTTCTGTCTGAGCGCTCCTTTTGTATACTCAGGAGTTTCAGTGCTGAGGCAAAAAATTAAAGGAAACATAGATATCTAGTTAATTATATGAGACATGTAGAGCAGTGTTACCATTTGCTATTTCCACAACAAAAAGGAGCCAGATCCTGACTGGAAAGCAATACACCAAGAAAATTTTGTTATGAAGAAACTGTCAGTTGAACTAAACAAAGTATTTAATAGTGAGTTGATGCTGGTGTTGCTCATTTTCTCACTGTGGACTAGTAACAAAAAATTCACAAACTGGTGCCAGTCTGGGAAGCAGATTTTGAGTAGGGCTCCTGAGGAAGATCTCAGAATTTTATGTCATACCTTCAATATCATAGCACAAATGGAGAGATCTCTTCTTTCAGGCCATATTGCAGACCAAAGATCCTCTTATTTCCTTAAAATAAAGGCACAAATATTTTCTCCATTCTAAGCATCTAGATGCTTAACTAAACATCTATCCAAACAACGGCTGCCCCAATTTTAGAAAGAAGAGGATATGTGCTTACTCTTCTTGTCGTAAGTCATTGACGCTGCGGTCCAGTGAGATCATGTCACTTGCCACCATGTTAAATCCAAACTCTTTAATGCTGGCTTGAACTGCATGTTTGAGTTCTGGTCCCAAAACCAATGGCTTGGCTCTCTCTCCAGGGCCACCAACCACTCCAGGAGGCTCAGGTTCTTTGGGTTCAAAGTTACCGAGGATCCCTGGGCGTAGCACAGGATCACGGTAGGTGAAAGTCTGAGGCTTAAAAGTGAGATACTGCCTCTGCATTATGTCTTTCTGGTTCTCTCCTCCAACATGGCGCTCTTGTTCATTTTTGGCCTTGTTTTTTCTTCTAATAGACTCTAAGTCCACTTCTACTCCTTCAACATGAGGCCAGGGTACCACAGGTTTGAATCTGTCATCCCCAGGAACTAATCCATTGCCTCCTCGGTTAGGCATGGGGTTATTGACATCTCTGTCTTCCTATACAAAAGGGAGGGGGATATATAATGAGTACATGAAGGCAAACCACAGCAGAGTTTATTATGATACCAATTTTCATGTTTTAAAAAAGGCGGAGGCAATAATAAAATGGTTTAAAGCATGATACAGAAGCAGGCCAGTAATCAGGACTTCCCATTAGAAAATATTTTTCAGGGAGGGAAGAGTATGCCAAGAAATAGACTATTTTCCTGTTTGACCATTCTAAAAGAAATGAATGGATGCAATTTTTACTTCTCCCCTTGTAAACCTAACTCTCTATCACAGACTCTTAATAAAGCACATTGTTATGGGTTAGAGCAATGAGGTTCTAGGACCTTTGACAAAAACAGACACTTAATAGGTCATGTTGTACAATATGTGGTTTTCCCAGCTGCCCGGTGTATGATAAATATAGCTTTGTGTCAGTGATACAGCCATATGGTGGCAGTGGTATTAGATGTCACCCATCACTAGGCTGGCTTCGTGCCCCTAATGGCAAAGGAACAAGGCGGGAATCTGCATTCAACAGTCCTGTTTGGTATATTACACTCAGGAAGGCCTCAGCTGCATGGAGAGCTATTATTAAAAAAGCTCTAATAACTGTAACCAAGTCAGTTTGGGCTTTTCAATCATATCCAAAGCCTAATTCACCCCATTCCAGAGGTAGCCCAGGTAAAAACAGATTTTACATGTAAGGAGACGGGTAAAGTCTGTCCCCTTTTCTGCTTGGACCCTCATCGGGTATGTAGGTCTTTCAGTCAGAGATCCAGAGTGCTTTTGCTCCTAAGGTATTTATTATATGTGCAGTTTTCGCTAAACCAGTACTATTCTCTGCATGAAGCAGTGTTCTCAACATAAGCATCACCCCAGTGGCTTTAAAAAATACTGATGTCCCACCCCCAGACTTTGTGATTTAATTGGTCTGGGCATTCATATTTTTAAAAGCTCCCTGGTGATTTCACCATGCATCTGAGCTTGAGAACCTCTAGCTTAAAGGGAGAGTTGCTAGCTATAATTAGACAAGGGGATTATTGAGTATGCACAGCCCAGCAAGAGGCAAGGCGAACTTAGAACTATTGCAAAATAGGCTGACTCGTCTGCTGCCTCACTCCACACGAAGATGATGTGATCCTTTAATAGAGTCAAAATGGAATTAGTACATCTGACCAAAATGCTTCTACAGTATTAGAGCTAGCTTCAAAATAAAGTTAAAAACAGAAATAAAGCTCTAGGTGCGATGTTGATAGGTAGGTTGCTATTTACTGGTAGTTCATTTAAGGACAAAGATTTCTTCCTAGAAAGGCAGTTAATTCAAATGTGAACTTAGTTGATGTTGACACTTTGGTAAGGACTAGCTAAGAATTGATTTCAGAGAGTTCAGAATTGAAATTTAAAATTGTATCTATTTCTTTAGTTAATATAAGCATATGATAAAAAAATTCAAAAGATTCAAAAGGTCAGAGAGTAAAAAGCAAGTTTTCTCCTGCCTCTCCTTCTGTAGGGACCATCAGAATCAGCAGTTTCTTGTGAATCTTTCTAGGGTTGTTATTAATATATGCTTGTATGAACATACATGTGTATATATAACAAGGTAACTTTTTTGAACATGGGACATAGATTTCAATTGACTCACTAATTAAAAGAGGAATCCATAAGATGTTACAGCTGGCCAAAAGGTAAATTCAAGGAACAAATATATAAACATCAAGAATACTGCAAAGAAGGAGTGGTCCTAACCACTTCTGGTTTGGCGCTGCCAGATTGGAATAGATTTTAGGTCAAGCATGATCTTAAACTTTAAAAAAAATACTGCAAAGAATTTAAAAAAAGATGCAAAACTGCAAAGTCGGTTGCTATCCAGGGGGCTATAACCACTTACATTACCCAGTACACAATTTCCTTTTCAGTGGACAAGAACCTTTGCGTTACTGGCAGTTTCTATCACTTACAGGATTGTAAAACAGTCAGAGATAATAAAAAGGCAAGATAACCTAGAAAGCTGAGTCAGATAGAATACCCAGTGATCTTTTTGGTCCATTTCAAAGTTGTTCCACAATCTTCCTCCAATAACACATAATGAAATATAAAATGCAACACTCAGCCTGATTCTTGAAATATGACGTCTTTCTGCAGGCATGTGTTATAGGTAGATAAGGCTTTCGGATCAGGACTTTCTGATCAGCACACCCTTCAGGAGAGTCTGAACTGGAGTCTGACCTGTGAGCCCTCCTAAGGGTCAGAGGTAAACAGATACGAGGTAGTCTTGCCAGAAATCTTTCATTCATGAAGCACTGAGGGCTATCATAAGCATTAACTCACACTGAGGAGAGGAAGCCAAGCATGACTTTTGTAACAGAGAGGTACAAAGCTGAGAAATGATTGTGATGATGGAAAAAGTATCCATTTCTCCAATTTATCTCCTGGCTCTTTCCAAAATTATACTCTCTTAAGGCAGTGTTGTAAAAAATTAAAATAGAGAAATCATTATAAAACTCTAGGATATTGAACCCAAGTTGCTGACACTGAATCAAATATAACACAAAAAGGAGAAACACATTCCCTCCCACTTCAATTTTATACATCAAGGCTCCAGTGAATCAGTAACTGGGGAGGTAAAAAAAGAGGGGAAGGAAATGTCAAAAAATAGAGAAAAGTAGGTCATCAGATGTCAGCATTCATAACCGTAGCATCCACTCTGTTGCCTAATATTCCATAGGGAAAAAAAATTACATATTGGGAGGGTGTGAGATATGATAACACAAGAAATCAAGATGGCCAAGCTATGAAATACATGGTATGGTGTAGGTTGGCCCATGCTAACATGAAAATTCCAAATTTAAATATTTCTCAAATGCAGCCACCTCAATGAGAATATTTAATGGACTCAAACGTCATGCTTATTGTCTCCCAACACTGTTTTGGTCTTTTCTTGACTTAAGGGTTCTTTGCCTAAAGTTTAAATGTTTAAAGTTTAAATGTGAAGTGTTCTTCACAGTTGTATTAAAAGGCTACCTGTCATTCTGGGTTGTATCATTCTCTTACAAGCTAGGTGTCCAGATTTATACTTGTCATTCTTACATCCGTTTCCTCGGCCCACACCACACTTCTGATCTTTGAACCTTACAGTCAATTGCTTCCTGAACATCTCTATTTATATCAGTCTGGTACGCCAATTTAAGATACCCCGAACTGCACTTATCATTGACCCCCACATCACAAACTGTTTCAATTACTCTTTTTCCTACTTTGGGACTGGAACCACCACCCACTCAACTGATCAGGTATATACCTGCATTTCATCCTCACTTCTTGTGCTCTTTTAACTACCCTGCTGACAGCCACTCACTCATCCCTGTCAGTTCTCTCACCTGTGTAGCTCCGGCATCTGGCCACGTCTCTCCGCTGCCCTCACTGCGACTGTCTTAGTTCAGGCCACCCTCCTCTCTTAACAGGTTTACTACAATAGCAGTAATAGTGATGATTACAAACACTACGCTCTAAGTGCTCCGCATATATTAACTTATTTAATCCCGCGAGTTAGGTTCTGTGATTACCATCCCTATTTTACAGACACAAAATCTGACAGAAAAGTTATTATCTTAGAATCAGTATATGGTACAGTCATCCAGGTGGTCTGGCTCAAGAACCCAAGCTCTTAACCACTGCGTTTTAGTGCTTCGCATTCTTACACCGGCACATACTGCCTCTCTTCATTATTTTTTTTACACAGCAGCCACGTGACTTCTAAAATTGAAATATGAACATGTTACTTTCCCTGCTTACAATATTCCACCCTGGCCCTCTTCCCTATGAAGAAATGGTTGATAAGGGTTTTGTTTGTTTGTTTGTTTTTGTTTTTCTAATGCACATTGCAGGAAGAAAGATGACATGATCCAGAGAGTTGAGAATAGGAAAGGATGAGCATGTGATAGGGTTTAAGGAGTGGGAATCATCAGGAAATTATCTCAGTCTTAATGATAAGGCTTTTCAGGCTCCAGCCTGCACTTATATCTCCACCATATCCACTAGAGCAGGGATTGGTTAATTTTTTTTTCTAAAGGGCCTAGTAAACATCTTAGGCTTTGCAGACCATAGGGTCTCTGTCGCAATGATTTAAGTCTGCCATTATGGTGCAAAAGCAGCCACAGACAATATGTAAATGAATGGATATGACTGTATTCCAGTAACACTTTATTTACAAGGACAGGCGGTGGGAATGATTTGGCTCTGCCAACTCCCGCACTAGACTCGAAGTTCTATAAAAGGGTAGGGATCATGCCTATCGCCATTGCATTCCCAATGCTTACCCTGGCATGTAAATTCTCAGTAAATATTTGCAGGATAAATGAATGAATCCTAAACTTGGTTCTTAGGTTATGAGAGAGATTCTGAGATAAAAAGGGAAAGAGAGAATGAAGAGTACAGAATGGGAAAGAAGGGCCTAGATAACCTTCCTGGCAATACTTCGTGACTTCAGCAAGGGAATGGGACATAGCTTTATATTCTGTGCACAGTACTGTACCCTTAATAATGCTATGTAATACTCACTAGAAAAACTGAATTTGCTCACTTCTCAAAGATGGCATGTCATTAAATTTGAAGGCAAAACCAAATCTGAGAATTGTCTGTCTAGTCCCAAGTCAATTAAGAATAATCATGTCAAATCTTAATGTTATATGATTCGAAGAATGGCTGTAAAGCAGTATAATCACTCAATTCCCCTGAGAGGAAAGCTGCTCCTTCCTGAGAGTGAATGAAAATGAGCAGATGCCTTTCTGACTCACTGGTACTGTGATACCTTCATAAGCACCAGCTGATTTACTGTATAGTCAAAATCAATGAATCATGGTGACTAGAAATGGAAAAGAGAATCAATATATAATCTAAGATCAGTATGTTCATAAAGGTGGAAATGTACTAAAAAATATAATCACTTATCACCAGATGGACACATAGGATTATCAGAAATTAGGTCAGACAATTTACTCTATACCTTAGTG